TCTGCTGATCCTTAAAAATGTTTTCTGATCGAGTCTAATGAGGTACCAAGCCCTGCCCTCTGAATTTGAAGTCTGTTTTCAGGATTCCTCAGGGACTTGGTGGCTTTGCTCCCCTTGCTGCTCAGTTGCGTTCCCTTCGTGTTTTTCCCTAGTAGGTGGGGGGCGGGGGTCAGACCGGGCACAGTTCCCACACTGTGTCACCTCAGTCAGTGAGGGGACATCATGTCTTGTGGTGGGGCCGACCGTTTGGTCCTCTCTGTGCCTTAGCCGCTCCAAGCAGGAGTGTCATCCTTGGGGCTTGGTGGGCCAGGATGTGGCCCACTCCTCTACTTTCCCTCGTAGATTGCTCCCGTGTAGTCTGGGCAGACCCAGCACTTGACCTGGGCTGTATCTTCAGTGCTGCCATCTGTAGTGTAATCGAGAAATCTTTATATCTGGAGAATGTGTATTTGGCACTTATCAATCATCTAGAGACCCGTGGAGGTCTTTCTATAAACACTAGTGCCAGTTTTCCAAGCACTGTACTCACGAATGTAGACAATAGGCTGCTTACACTTCCTTCCAGGTTCTCCGTTTCCTACAGTTGATATTTTGCATTTGTTCTCTTTTAGAAAACAAATTTGAAACAGCCAGCATCCATTTTGGTAGATCGAAGAGAGAGAGAGGTGTTTTCTCCAGGTGTCCATCAGGATCTTCTGGGCAGGCATCAAGACCAGTCCTCCGTCAGATATAAGGTAGGACAGGAAAAAGGAGGAGGTAAACCAGCAGCGACTGAATCATTTGGGATTTAATTTGGAGCTTGCAAAGATTGCTCTCTACTAAACTTCATAGCTGACAAAAAGTATACTCGTCTGTTAAACTTCATATTATCCTGAATTGAAAAAATGACTGTACAGTTCTCAGCATATTACTGCTATCATGCTACTTTTACAGGACAATTTATGGTTTGTGTTTTCTCTTTTAGAAAGTACGCTTTAAAGAGCCATATTCTGATGTGACACCTGAGAGAGAGAGAGCAGACTTTTCCGTGGCAAGTAATCAGTATGTGCCTCTTAAACTCCAAGAGCATACCTTCATCAGAGATCATAGAGCAGACCAAAAAACAGATAAATAAGCAGGAAATAAATTCTGTACAACTGGTCATTTGAAGTATAGAACCAGGATCTTAGAAGTTGACCTAGAATACAGTCTTTTTTTCCCTTTAATATGAGAATATGATCCTATTAGAGTAGAAGTCTTATTAGAATAAAGTTTCAAGGTGGATGGGCCTAGCTTGTTACACACTAAATAATTCCATTTCCTGCTGATCTCTCTCCTTTTTTGGCTCTACTTGGTTCCTCAAAAAGAGCCCTGGTGATATAGTGCCTTACATATTGGCCTCCTAAATGCAAGATGAGCGGTGTGAAACTACCATCTGTCTATTCCTGTAAAGAGTTACAGTCTCAGAAATACACAAATGCAGTTCTACCCTGTCCTGTAGGGTCACTGTGAGTCAGAGTTCAACTCCTTGCAAATGAGTTTTGAGTTTTTGTGCCTGAAAGGAGCCCTGAAAGGACAGTGAGTTAAGTGTTGGGCTGCTAACCAAAAGGTTGGCAGTTTGAACCTATCACCCACTCCATGACAGAAAAACGAGGCAGTGTCCTTTTATAAAGATTGACAACCTTGGAAGTTCGGGGAGTAGGTCTTCTCTGTCCGGTAGGCACACTATGAATTAGAAACGACTTGATGGCAGTGAGTTTATCTGGCGCCTGATGTTGCAATCGTAATCAAATCAATTCTGTCATACAGAAGTACCTCACCTTTATAACATATTCCAGAAAGGTTTAGACTATTTTAATAACTGAGGTCATTCCACATGTTTTGCTGAAGCACATAGTTGACTCCCAGCGTACTCTCTCCGCATGAATAGTCCAGGAAGAGGCAGCAGATCCTACACTACTACTTGAAATTGGGGTGTTTGTCAGAGAGTTCTGTCCATGAGAGGAAGAATTCAGGTCCAGGTGTTGGGCTGAGAGTATGGCATCCTCTCCTATGTGCTCCTAGTATCACTCTCTGGAGTTCTCACTGAAGGCTACAATATTATGATTAACATATTACCCTAATTAGACCATTTGTTTTGTTTCTGGGGTTTTTTTTAGAGCACCTTTCTCAAGCAACCCTCATGCTCTCTGAGGGCAATGAGACAGGAATTGTCAGGAGAATCGCAGTACATTATACCTAAAACTCAGGATCAAGCCTCCCCTAGAGAACAGGTCGAACAGACTGCGGTAGAAGGAAGGGACAAAGACGAAATTACTTAGGATGTGGAGAGTTTGTCAGATCTTTCTGTACGTCTTTTGGATTAAGAATTAAGGCTAAGGGTATGAAATCCTGATTTATGTCAGAATGTTTCATGTTTCTATTGTTTCTGTAGAAGAACATGTTTCTCAAGCAACCTGCATCTTTTCTGGACGAGGAGAGAGTGAAGCAGGAATTGTTTCAGGAAAATTATCAGTATGTTACACCTAAAATCCAGAACCAGTGCTCCCCAAGACAACAGGTAGAACAGAATTCAGTAGGAAAAATCAACAAAATAATTTACTTAAAATTTGGGCTAGAGCTTGTCAAGCTATTTTGTATTTAGGGTACAAATAAATTAGCAGTTAGTCTTCCAGAGTTAAGCTAAGAGTATAATATCTTCAGTTATTTCCAGATGTTCCAGAATAATGTGGAATTTGTTTTGTAATGTTCCAGGAGCAAGGTAAGAGAGAAGAATTAAAATATTCTTAATTGTTGAAGCTGAGTGATGGGGACCTTTAGAATCATTATACATCTTTTTTCATACTTCAGTGTACTTTTGGAAATGTTTATATTTTGCATACATACACATGTACGTACACACATATTATAGTATCTTCAGAATCATTCTCAGAATACTGCTGAAATCTATACTTTTGTCAGCAGCCCATCATTTCTGCTTAGGTGACTCGTTTGTAGTTTATTAGAGCAAGTACACTAAGCAACCCTCTTCTTTTGAGAAGGAAATTGTGAGAGACGTTGCTTGTGGAGCCTATACTCACCCAATTTTGTATGTTTCACCCTGTTTTCAAGACTGACTTCTCCCAGAGAAAAATAGGGTAGAATATAGTGTGGAACAAGTAGCAGAGTAAATTGCTTAGAATTTGGTTCAAGATTAACAGAACAATGTAGTGACTGTGTCAGGGTTTAGTGTTAAGGTTAATAATAGTGGGCAGAGAATATAGTGTTTCCCTGTTCTGTGATGTATCACACCATTCTGACCTCTTGAAACTACTTCCTCCTCACTGAAATCTTTAACTATTGCCACAGACATACTGCTCCAGTGTGGACCATCTATGTTCAGTGTTTACGCCCTTTTTGTAGCACAGGATCTATGGGCAGATACAACATATAAGAGGTTGGGAAAGGTTATTTCCAGAGTATGTTTTATGTGAAAGTCAAGACTCAGACACTGCCAGAAAGCAGGTAGAGCAGAGTAGAGGGTAAGCAGAAGAAAGTAAACTGCATAAAATTTGGGGGACTTGCTAGAGCTATGTTGCTAACGATGATAGTATTATCTCCAATTAATAATAATATTAAAACAGATTACATGTGTTGAAACACCATAACCAAGAACAGTATAACCTTGTATACTTTATCACTTTTAATTCTCAAAATAACCTTCAGAATAGAAACTGTTGTTATCCTTATTTTATAAATAGAGAAATTTAAGGTTGTTTTTAAGGTAAAGCTCTATAATATTGGCAAGAAGTGTAATGTCTCATTTTATGCCGTAATGTACTTGATTGTTCTAACCTATTTATATTATCTTAGAGCTATCATTAAAGCTTACAAGTATTATCGCTGCCATTAGGTTACTGCTCACACAGTTTACTAAGTACTTTGATGTCTTTCAGAGTTTATACTTAAAGCAGCAGTCAAATATTGGAACAGCTGAAAGAGAGCAAGATGACCATCATCATCTTCCACCTAGGCACCACAGGGTGGCTTCAAGCAGAAGACAGGTAGGAGGATTATAGAGTTTAGACAGTATGATGTGCGGCTTATTGAAGGTGGGAAAGGAGTCCTGGTGGTATAGGGGGTTGCATCAGCCTGCTAACTGCAAGGTCAGTTCAAACCTACCAGTTTCTCTCTATGAAGCCTTCTGTTCCCTTGAAGAGTTAACGTCTTAGAAACCTAAAGAGGCAGTTCTGCTCTGTCTTGTGGGGTTGCTATAATTTGGAATTTGCTTGATGGCTGTGGGTTTGGTTTTGATTGGATTGAGTGGGAAGGTCCCTGATGGTCCAAATGGTTTACAGCTGACTAAGATGACAGTTTGAACCCACTCAGGGACTCACAGAAGAAAAGCCTGGTGATTTGTTTCCATTAAGATTGCATGACAAACTAATAATAACTTATAAATTATCAAGGGCTCATGAGGGGATGCCGGGGAGGGAGGGGGGAAAATGAGGAGCTGATACCAAGGGCTCAAGTAGAAAGCAAATGTTTTGAGAATGATGAGGGCAATATACAAATGTGCTTGACAAAAAAAATAAAAGGATAATGGCAACATATGTACAAATGTGCTTGACACAATAGATGTATGGATTGTTATAAGAGCTGTAAGAGCCCCCAATAAAATGACTTATAAAAAAAAGATTTACAGTTTGGAAAATCCTATGGAACCGTTTTACTCTTACATGAGATCCCTTTCAGTTGGAATCAACTCAAAGGCAATGCTTTTGGTCTTTAGTCTTCATGGAGTTGAGAGGGGTAAAACTGAGCAAAAAGAAGATTCCTGTTTCCTAGCAGAGTATGTGTGGGGTTGAACTTTACCTAAAGAATTTTTTTTTTGTCTTTAGTTCCTGATAACCCAAAACACCACACTCAGTACCACGATGCCGACTCATTGGATCACTGTAAATAACCCTCTGTAACTTTGGAATTTCTTCAATGATTGACGTTATTTTGATAAAAAATCCCAGTGACACCTACTTAGGAGGTTATGCTAATGAGGTGACTCGACTAGGGGCTGGCCATGCCTAAAAGACCCAGGCATGATAGCATCCATGTCAGCTGACCTCACGGAAAGGTGCCTCAACCAATCTTGTCTACATAATGAAGCTCTATGGGGCTTCTGGTTGGTGATAGATAATGAGACACTTGGGAAGGTACCATATCCCTTTTGGGGACGTGGAAGCTCCACATATGAACCCTCTCAGGTCTTACCCCATATATCTCTCCATTTATATCTTCTTTTACTTTACTAAAACTATAATAAGTTTAGCACTTTTCTGAATTCTCTGCATATTGACTCAAGAGAGTAATGGGTGGTCAGTCAGCAGATCAGAAGTGAGGGAGGGACCCATTGGACTCCTAACAGAATTGAACTGTTGTAATCCATATAAGTTTGGTTTGTTTTCTTTTAAAAGGATACTGTATTTTCAGTGAATATTCCCACAGTAGTTTAATTTCCCTTCAAGAATTCCTACCAAAAAAGAATAATTTCTGCACAAGTTGTTTAGTAACATTGACCATATTCTCCACAATGCAGAAACAGTCTCACTTTTCCTGCTCTGGTTGCTCTGCTTCCATTAATCGGTTTCCTTGGCCCCTTACCTTACCGTTTCTGTTTTTAAGGTATTGTTGACCAGTTTCACACTGATGATTTTTCAAAAGAGCGCATGGCACTCATGGGTGATATTTTTATTTTGTGAGCCAATCTTTTACTTTGTTAAAAGGTGACTTTTTTCAAAATTGAAGTTTCTTCAGCCAAAAGTCTCAGGGATTCCTCTAGTTTCAACCAATCGAGTAAGTCTGGATTTTTAAGAATTGGAGGTTCTGTACCTCATTTTCC